CTGCTGCTGGGGTGCTCAGCGCTGGGGGCTGGGGACAGCGGGCAGCTGTGCCCAGCTGTGGAGATGCCTCCCTCCCTCAACCAGGAGCCTGTAGAACGTGATCCCTCCCAGCTGCGGGGCAGAGCAAGGCATGCAAGGCCCCATGCCTCCCCACGTGCACCCTGGTCTGACCCGCTGGGCTCTGTCCCTTCCTGGCCTTGCTCCGTTGCAGCCAGTTGGTCCCTTGGCGCCAGCCCTGACCATTTCTCCCCCTGCCCTTCCTCGCAGGACGTGGGCTCCCTGGATGAGAAGATGAGCAGTCTGGACGTGAACAACGACGAGGAGCTGAAGTTCAGCGAGTACTGGCGGCTGATCGGGGAGCTGGCCAAGGACATCAAAAAGGAGAAAGTGGGGAAGAAGAAGTGATCAGGGGCAGGGAGGGCTGCTTGGGGCCGACCTGCTCACTCCAGCCATGAATAAAACGTTCCCTCCATGGCTGAGCATGGGTCTGTTCCTTAGGGCGAAGGAGGGGCTGGGTGTCCTGCTCCAGGTGGCTGTGATTCCCTGGCCCAGTCACCCCCTGGCTCTGTGCAAGGCCCTTGCCCCACACAACCGGAGCTCAGCAGCCAGAGGGGCTGGGAGGTGATGGGAGGGCAGGGTCTCTGGGGGAGGGTGGAGGGTGAGGACTTCCCTGGCCGGGCCTCTCCCACCAGGTCTTAGGGGACGTTGAGTCGCTGCAGAGATTACTGGTACCCGCCTGAAATCCTCAGCAGCAATTTTGCCCCCCCACTCCCCAGGGTCCTGGCCACATTCTCCAAGGGACCTTTACTGAGCCATGGGTGACGATGTCTGGGGCTGAGACCCCCGACAGTGCCCGAGAGCCCAGGGGCTCAGCTCAGACTCAGCCTGGCTAATTCACCCAGCCTCCAGCCCCCATGCCAGGAGCCATTAGCCCTGTCCTGTGCACAGATGGCGAAGCGACTTGCACAAGGTCACACAGCGAACTGGTGGCAGATCAGTCCTGACCCCCAGCCCCCCTGCTCTAGCCACTAGTCCCCACTCCCCTCCCAGAGCTAGGGAAGGAACCCAGTAGTCCTGACTCCCAGCCCCGCTGCTCTAGCCACTAGTCCTGGCCCCTCAGACATACAGAGAAGTGCCAGGGAGGCAGTACCAGCAGGCTAAGGAGAGGCTAAGGAGAGGGATGGGGCCTTTGGGTAGCAGAGGGAAGTCATGAAGGACAAGTCTCGCCAGCCAGCCCTTTGCACGCTGGGCAGACCGGGACACCGGGGCCCCTCAGAGCGGCCTGCTGGGGCGGCCGTTGCGCTGAGAGGAGCGATCATCCCGGAGGAGCCTCCAGCACCACAGGCCAGGAGCCAGTTTCCACCCTGCTAGTTCTCCGACCCGCTCCGCTGAACCCATGGGGCCTCCCCCCACACGCTCCCTATGGCCACCGCCCAAAAGGCAGCCGCCTGGGGCCTGGGGCGTGGCAGCTGTTCGCACAGGGACCCCTCACCCTCTGCTAAGATGCAGCTGTCTCTGGAGTGGAGGCAGCAGCTGGTTATCAGCCCCTCAGAACACACCATGCCAGAGCAGCTTAGGACAGGACAGGAAGACTCCTTAGCCCCGGGAAAGTATGTGGGAGTTTTAGCTTGGCTGCAGTCACTTACACTGGTATTTGGCCAGGCCGCGGGGGCTAACACCCAGGCGGCAGGGGCTATTCAGTGAACACAAGTGGCTCTGAGTTTTAGGTTTCCTCAGGGTCAGCATCGCCCAGCCCTGCTGGCCATTCCTGGCCTGGCCCCAGCGGTCCCCCATTCACATCCTGAGCCAGCCCCACCCACCTCGCTAGGGAAAACTGACGAAATCCCGGCTCCAGGGCCTCCGGCTGCACACCAGGAACACGCCTTCTGCCAGCGTAGGCTAGCTTACGGCCGGGGCGCTGGGCTCGAAGCCGGCCAGGGCCCAGCTCCCAGGTTCCCCTTTGTGTCTCTGCGGCGGGGGCGTGGGGGCAGGTGAGCTGCCCCCACAAGCTGGCGCGTCCCGTGTCCCTCGTACTGTTTGTGCTGGGTGGTGATTCGGGCTGGGAATGGCAAACCTGGCCGTGGAGTGGGAGGGGCCCCGGCCCCACGCTGGCCCCGTGCCAGGCTATGAAATGAGACACCTTGCACCACAGCCATAACTTGCGGATACCTTGGTGAGGTGTCTCCCACTCACACCTCTCGGCGGTATAAAACCTGGCGGGGGACCGGCCCGCCCCGTCCTGTCCCAGAAGAGCCTTTGGAGCAGGTAAGTGGCTTCTTCCTTTCCCAGCCCCTTCCTGACTCTGGCTGGGGGATCGCACCTGCTGGGTATCCCCCCCCCGCCTCCCTCACATGCTCCCCTCTGGCTCTGCCCCAACACATTGCGAGGGGAGAGGCACGGGACATGTTTCAGCAGCTCCCTGCGATCCCAGAGTGCCGTTCCTTGCTGCCCTGAGATCTAAAACTCCAGCGTCGGAGGGAAGATCAGGGGTGAGCTAGATGACCTTCTGGGGTCCCTTCCAACCCTGATATTCTATGAGCTGCGAACTAACTGGGGACTTTCCCCCCTTCTCTCTCCCACACCAGCAAAGCCCCAGCACCTGATGTGAAGCCAGCTCTTGGGAGTTCACCCAACGCCTTGACTCAGCTTGGATCATAGGAGGAGCCCGGGTCCACCCCCTGCACCGCTCCCAGCAGCATCTCACGGGAAAGCCAAGCAGGAGAGCGAGCCAAGGAACCGGAGTGCCGGAGAGAGGCAGCATGGGCCAGTGTCACTGTCACAAGAAGCGCAAGGTCAATGAAAGAGCCATTAGCTCCTTAGCGCGCCCTGTGCCATCCCGCGTCCCATGGGGAGAATTTGTGGGATCCCTCTGGCTGTGCAGGGTGCTTTTCTGGAGGATGTATCTGAAGGGACCCGGATCCTCACCTGCACTTGGGACCAGCAGTGCACTGGGAACAGTCCTGCCCTGGCTCAGGGAGATGGGACTTCTGGGGTCTTTCCCATCTCTAGCTCCTGTGACGTCAGGATGAAAAAAGGAACTCTCTAGGGGCCTGATCCAAAGTCCATTGAAACCAGTGGAGAGACCCCCCGGACTCCAGTGGGCTCTGGATCAGCTGTTCTGAGGGTCTGGTCTCAAGTATCTTCAGCATCTAGATACCTGTTTAAATCTGAGACGCTGTTTTCTCGTGAGTCCCACGCAGAGCAGGGCTCCCAGGCTGCCGTGGGCCAGTTGAAAGCACGGCAAATCAGGGGGCATTTCCCAGCTCTTGCAAAGCTAAAGGTCACATTGTTCTGGGTTGGTTTAAAAGTTGTTTCAGCAACTGTTAAACTAACCAAAGGAACGAAGGAAACAACCTTGAAAGTCTCCTGCTTTGCTCTGCGCTCCAATGGGAGGGTTATTCCCAGAGCCTTGGGATCAGTGCTGAGGCCAGGAGCCATGCTGATTTACACCAGCTGAGGATTTGGCCACTCCCCTGATCTGAGCTCCTGTTAGGAAGGATCAGGTCCCTGTAGGAGACCTGCTCAAAGCTGTTCTGAAGGTCTGTCATTTTTAATAGCTAACCCCTTTGTTGGTAGATACGGGCTTAGCTGTGCGTAAAGGGGAGAACCTCCATGCTGGAGCAAACTGCGGCAGCTCTTCCCTTGACATGCAGCTTTGGGGAATTCGTGAGAGCGGCAGAAGAAATTCTGGATAAACCTTCCGAGGGATGTAAATCTGGTCATCTTTAACTGCTCCCCTCCCCCCATTTCAGCCTCCTGGGGGGAAGAGAGGACGACTGTGCTGTGCTCTGTTTGGTAGATACTAGGTGCCCTACTCATGGGTGAAGCTAAAACCCATTTCAGATGAGCACCAACATCCCTATGGGGACTGATCCATCTGCTACTTGTACAGTGAGCCAGAAGGATCCAGTCTCAATTCTGGGTGCAGCTCTTGGCAGCAGACCAATGGAACCACGTCTGCTTAGGCAGGAGCTTGGATAGGAGCTCTCGATCTTCAGGGCAAAGCTGATCAGCAGCTGGTGGGCAGGTGGGAATTTTCCCTCCTGGCAGAGTCCTGAAGCAGCTAGGCGAAGCATCGAGCACTCGTCACTGCTGGGGACAACAGGCTGGACGAGGTGGACAGCGTTTCTCATTTGGGTCTGGCAGGAGGTAGGACCATCCTCAGCTGGTGTCAACTAGCTCCATTGACCAGGGGGGCCATGGTTCTGGTGAGACATGGAGGAGGGGTGTCAGAGAAGATGGACCATTGGTTGTGGTGCGGCAGGGTGGGGAGATGCCAGCCTAGACGGAGCACTGAGCTGATCCACTGCGGTTCCCGGGAAGAGGCAGAGCCAGCCCCAGATCGCTCAGCCAGGCTGATGTGCGATCTGGGCAGCCTTTGATCTTCCCCAGGATCTCAGCGAGTGGGGCTGGGGCGTTCTCCCTTGGTCTCGAGCCACTGCTTGCGTCACAGCTGGGCCTCCTTGCTTCCTCCCCCGCTAAACGTCTCCCCCTCCTGCCTGTGGGGCTCTAGGACAGCCAGGAGCTAACCGACGTGGAGAGGGCGATCGAGATCGTGATCAACAACTTCCACCGCTACGCGGTGAAGGGGCGGAAGGAGTGCCTGACCCCCAACGAGCTCAGGGACCTGGTGGTGCAGCAGCTGCCTCAGCTATCGCAGGTGAGGGGAGCCCTCAGCACCGCCCCCCACCCCGCAGCAGGGCTGCAAGGGTGTCGGTCTTGGGACGGGCCGCTGATGTCCAGGGTTTGGAGCAGAGCCACGGTGGAGAGCGCCAGGGGTGAAATCCCGCAGGGAGGGGGGACCATGCGTGGTGGAGTGGGGTGATGCAGCAGGGTGGGGGACATGGCTGCCCACTAAGTTGAGGTGGTGTTACGAACCCTGACCCCACTGCCCCCCAAGATCCCAATGCAACATTCTCTCCCCACTGAACCCCACAAGCTGAGCAACAGCCCCATCCTGCTGCGTCCTCACTACCTCTACCATATTGCGCCCCCATCTCTTCCAGCAGACCCACCCCAACAACATCCTCCCTCACTGCACCTCCTCTTCCCATCCCCCTTCCCATCTGGGTGGGTGGCTCCCTGCTCCCCACACCCAGGGTCTCTGCTGCTTTCTGATGGCTCGCCCCACTCTCCTTCACAGCATGTCTGCTCGCTGGATGAGAAGATCGAGTGCCTTGGGGACCCTGATGAGGCTAAGCTGGAGTTCGGCGAGTACTGGGCCATCATCGGGGAGGCAGCCAAAGGCTGCCGAGTGAAGAAGTAACAGGCCTGAGGGGAGACACGGACCGTGAGGCCTCAGACCATCTGCATGGAGAGCGAGCGAGCAAGACTGTCAGCCATGATGTGTTGTGTTGAAAATGCAGTGTTAATCCTCCTGCGGCACGTTTCCTCTCTCCTTCCCCCAGCTCGGGAACCTCTTCATTCTGGGCTCTCTCTCCCTTCCTCTGAGTCTGGAACCTTTTCAGTCTGGGGCCCATCTTGCCTGCTCTAGAAACCTCCCTCCCCTCTGCTCACCTGCTCTAGAAGCTTTTCATTCACCCTTACGATGGAACCTACAAATGCTGGGGGGTGGGGGGGTGGGGGGGGTGTTGTCCTCCAGCGCTGGCAACTTAAATTCACGGACATCGATCCCTTTAGTGGAGGAACTTTAAGCCCTAGATTTGAACCTTGCCAGTTTTGGAATCTTAAAATGTGCCATTTTCTAGCTCTTTTGCTCTAGAACCTTGACATTCTTGGGGGGGTGTTCCCCCCAGCTCTGGTACCTTAAAGTGCAGGGGTTTAGCTACTTTACTCCAGAACCTTTAGAGTCTGTGGTTCCATCTGCCCAGCCCTGATACCTTCCCCTCCTCCTCTTCCAGGATCTCTCCTTGGATCACTGCCCCGAGCAGTTCAGAGCTGGGCACTGGCCCCTCCATTCCTACAGGTCGCTGCCAATCTCCAGGGAGGGGCGTTTGGGAAGCGGCTGACAGCCACCTGGCCCTGCCAACCCTGGGGCAGCTCACTGCATCGGGTGGAAACTATTACTCAAGCCTACGGGGAGAGGGGGCTGGAAAGAGAGGGGAGGGAGCCAGGAGCTGGGGTTAGATGTGGGACCAGGGCTCTAGGTGGGTGGGAGGCAGGGAGGGGTGGAGGGCAGCTCGGGGTGTGACATGAGGCTGTTGTGTGTCTGGGATCTTTGATTTGTCTATGGAGTGTGGGGCTCAGCTACCGGTTCAGCTGGCTCCATGTTGAGGGGGCTACCCCGGCTCTTTAGATTGACACTGTGGTCCCAGGGTTGAGGGGTGGGGGTGGGAGACCCCCCCGCAGCATGACCCACCCCCCGCTGCAGCACGACGAGCATGCAACACCCCCAAGCGCCCCCCCACCCCGACAACTGGACACTCAGAATTGTAACAGAGCCCCAGCACGTGACGGCTCTGCGGGGTGGGAGGGGCACTGCGCACCCCAGCGTCCCTGCTCTCCATGGACCCCTGACACGCTTGACACCAACCCTGACCCCAGACCCCACCGAGGCGCATCCTGGGGGTGGGGGTTGAACTTTCCACTGGAAGGAAGCAGAGGCCAGTGGTGACCACAGGGGGTGGCTGCGAGTCAGGACTCCTGGGTTCTAGTCCAACTCTAGCAGTTCAGGCTAGTGGTTAGAGCGGGGGACCTGCGGTAAGCCAGGACGTCTGGGTGCTGCTCCTGATTCTGCCATTGGCCTTGCCAGTCCCTTCCCTCCTCTGCACCTTGGTTTGTAGCCCATCGGGGGGAGGGGACCATCAGGCTCCAGACACGGGGCACAGTATTATTGGTATTAAGCGTTCCTCCCTGAGCTGGGACTGTTACCCCTGGGACTGGGGAGAAAACACCTCCCCCTCCTGCCACCCCCAGCCGGTCCAGCAGCCGCTTGTGTCGCTTGCTAAGGTTTTTGTATAAATCAATAAAAGAAACAACTGGAAAAAAAATCTCCGTGGCCCTGTTCTCCGGTCTGTGTCGGCGAGCGGGAAGCACAGAGCCCAGCCCGCAGCAGGATCCCTGGCGCGGGGGGAAGAGCCCGGGGAGGGACCCGGCGGGGTAACCCCAGCCTCAGCCAGGGAACAAAACCCAGGCTGCAGGTCGGCTCGCTGGCTCCATGGGAGGGCATCCTGGGGCCTGAGCTGGGAGCCGGGGGTCGGGGCCTGAGCTGGGAGGGGGAGCATGGGGCCTGAGCTACGATGTGGGGGGGAGGGTCTGGGCCTGAGCTGTGGGTGGTGGTCTGGGCTTGAGCTGGGATGGGGGTCTGGATCTGAGCTAGGATGGGGGCGGGGTCTGGGTCTGCCCTAGGACAGGGGCAGGGTCTGGGGCTGGAGATGGGACGGGCGAGCCTGGGGCCCATCTTCCAAACCACGTCCAGGGACCTGAGTTCCAAGCTGCAGGCGAGTAAGGTTCAGGCCCTGGGGGCCGAGGTGGGGCCGGGAGCCGAGTTTCCAGTGACGCCCAGTCCCGGGTTGTGGCCATCGGAGGGGGGAGCCGTGTAATGCCCGGTGCTCTGGGTGTTCTCAGCATGGAGCCCAGCAGAGGTGCCGGTTCCTGCCGTGTCTCAGGGTCATTCATGCCCCGGGTGGAATTCAGGGGCCCGACCCTCCCCACACGGGGCCCAGACCCAGCAAGGTGCCCGGTGTCTGCCACCTGAGACCTCGGAGCTGTGCCCAGCTCTCCTGTGGCAACCGGGGGGCAAAGCACTGACCAGAATAAACAACCTGCGCCAAGCCCACATTGGGTCAACTGGGTCCTGGCTGGGGAGGGTGAGAGGCTGAATCGTCCTTGGCCAGCCACAGCTCCCACCCCCTCACTGGTGTTTGTGGGGAGCCGGATGGGGCCCCTGGCTGCAAAATTAGGTTGTGGAAGAGCAGAGCCACTCCAACTGTGTCCGAGTGGGGAACATCCCCATCCCCGTGGCTGTCTGGTTTGAGATCCCGCCGAGGCACCCTCCTTCGCCCACTGAGCTGACCCTTCCCTTGTGGTCCCATGTGAACCCTGCAATTGCACGATTGACTGATGGGTGTTTTCGCAGATCAGACTTCGGGGGCTGGACACCTGAGGGGGGAGCCAAGTTTGCAGGAGGTGGGGTTGAGTCACTATATTCACATTATTTGCCAATGCCAATCCAATAGAAAGCCATCCCAGTGGAGAGGAAACTCCCTCTAGGCCCCGCCTGGAGCACATGGGAGAGCCCAAGGGGGTTGGGGAAAGGTTGGCAGGTCACACCTGTGTCGGGTGCTCCTGCAGCATGTCAATGGGTGTAGTGACCCGGTTCACCTGGAACAGGCTGTGTGTGACTGTTCTCTCGCTGCGGGGCACATTTCACAATGAGAATTAATATTTATTGTTGCTACCATGACAATAAATCAATGGAACTTAAAATGGAAGGGTGTGGGGTATCTTTAATTACATAGACAGGGAATGTTTCAGAGGAGCAGCCGTGTTAGTCTGTACCCACAAAAAGAACAGGAGGACTTGTGGCACCTTAGAGACTAACATTTATTTGAGCATAAGCTTTCATCGAATGAAGTGAGCTGTAGCTCACGAAAGCTCATGCTCAAATAAATTTGTTAGTCTCTAAGGTGCCACAAGTACTCCTTTTCTTTTATAGACAGGGAATGTGTCTCATAGACTTGAAGGGTCAGAAGGGACAATCACGAACATCTGGTTTGACTTCCTGCATGGTGCAGGCCACAGAATCTCATGCACCCACTCCTGTAACAGACCCAGAACCTCTGGCTCAGTTACTGAAGTCCTCAGTAATGATTGACAGGCTTCAAGCTACAGAGAATCCTCCATTTACATTCGTGCCAGATGGTTAGAGATGGAGGAGGGGAAAGTGGGAGACCGGATGCCTGGGTTCTATTCCCAACTCTGGGAGGGGAGTGTGGTGTAATGGATAGAGCAGGGGACCAGCAGCCAGCGCTCCTGGATTCTACTCCTGGTTCAGCCACTTACTTACAAGTTATTTCTCCAGGAACGGCTCCAGCAATAGTCACCTGCCCCAGGAGCCGTCCGTGAGGAACATTTGGAAAGTCTTTGGAGGCCCTGGGATGAAAAATGAGGGCCAGCCCCAGTCAGGGGGCAAGCAATAAATCCCGGTGAGTCAGCTGTGGCTTTCCGCGCCCACCGTATTTGGACACTTCAGTGTGTTGAACGTTAATAGGAATGGCTGTATGCTTGTGCCGGTGTGCGGCTCTTGTGCCTTTCTACGCCCCCGTCTCCCAACATGGGGAGAACATTTTTTATTCTGCACTCACCGTCCTCTTGAGAAATGCAGAATCGGCCTCTGTACAGCACCTTGCACAACGGGGTGCTGGTCTCTGACGAGGGCCCCCAGGGTGCTACGGTTAGGGGTACAATATTTGAACATTCAAAAAAAGAGGATACTCCGGGGGGAGGGGGGGGAGGGAGTATTTGATCACGACACCGGCCCCGCCCCAACTCCACCCCTTCCCTGCCCCCATTCCAACCCCTTCCCCAAAGACCCCTCCCCAACTTCGCCCCCTCCCTGCCCCATTGGATCCCCTCCCCAAATCCCCGCCTCGGCCCTGCCTCCTCCCCTGAGCACGCCGCTTTTCCCCTTCTCCCCCCTCCCTCCCAGCCGCACGAAACAGCTGTTTTGCAGCGCAAGCGCTGGGAGCGAGGGGGGGAAAAGCGGGCACTCTCTCGAGTGATCAGCATTCACTTTCTTTCTTGAATGATCAACGTTCACTCGCTTTCTTGAATGATCAACTCTTCTTTGGGGAAAAATAATAATGGCAAAATCCTGGACGTTTTTAGATATTTAAAAATTCCTCCCAGATGGCGATTTAAGAACCAAAAAGCTGGACATGTCCGGGAAAATACAGATGTATGGTAACCCTAGCTATGGTCAGACAAAGAATAATAACAAATCCACTTCCCTATGAGCACCTGCCCTTAGCTTCACCTTCAGCCTCGCCAGGAGCTCTCAGGAAATTGCCCGTAACCTGTTGTGGTCACTGAGGCAACTAATCGAAAGGGCCCTCTTAATTCTTCTTACTGTTTGTACTGCAGTAGCTTTTCCAAGAGATGACAACTGGGGATCGGGACCCTGTGGTGGCAGGCACTATCTGAGCCCCTAATGGACCCCCCTGACCCTAAGAGCTGGGTACCGAGCATCTGCAGCTCCCCTTGACTTCAGCTGGAGTGGAGGGGGAGCCTAACAGGCCTGAAAAACCTGTCCCTTAGGGGTCAGCTCATAGTTGGGTGCAGGTTGGGGTCCCAGGCCCAGATGCACCAGGGCCCAAGGGCTGAGAACATTAGGTGCTGAGCACTTGAACATCTAGCCCCGAGCTCTTCAAACACCTGGCCCTTGGTGGCTCGATTTGGGCACCCCAAGAACCCAGCTCTGCAAACTGCTCCAGGCAGGCAGACCCCCAGCGTCTCTCTGACTTCACTTCACGTCAGGGCCACTGAGGAGAATCCAAAGCTGGTTTTGACCCTTCCAGCTGGTGTGAGTGGATTGGGTCAGCAGTGAGAAAAGTTCTTTCAATGGACAACCAGCTGGCTGGGAATTTTATTGCATATGCAACTGCTCTGAGCACACCCACCCCGGGCTGGCTTTTAAAACAAAGGGCTGGATGCAGTTATGACATTGCCAACGACAGAGGAGTAACGAAACCTCACGATTCAAGGCGTGAACTGCTTGCCTGGAGGGATCGGGACAGGATTTCCGCCCTTCTGTGGTGTATTGCATGAATGGGATGGCACATTCAGAGGATGACTAGCTTTTGTTCCTTTAAAACTTATGTTACACATAAAAATCTGGCAAGATGTTGCACAAACAAAACCTGTTTTTTCCCCCAGGTTAATAGCCCTGTATTTTTACCCAAGTGGCCCAGTTTGTACCCACAAATTTGCATCTCAGAAGAAATTCACCCATCTAACCTCAGCATCTCGTCAATGCGTTTCTAAAGCCGACGTACAAAGGGACACAACTTGCTAAATGCAGTTAATTACATAGGCAAGCTTGTGAGTGCGGATGCCGGCCAAGAGGCACTCCAATGCACCCAAAGTCCTTGATTTGTAAACTGCCGAATGGCCAACAATGAAAAAGCCCATAATTATGGTTTGTCTGGCTTAGCCGGTTCTGGGGGAGCAGGGCTTTGACTGGGGCTGGTTCTGTGCTCAAACCACAGGGCCCCATTGTGAGTTCAGTGACACCAGTGCAAATTCAGAGGGATTCCACTGTTGCGAATTGAATTGCTCTAGTTTCACATGGGTGAATTTGTCATGCAATGTCCCTGAGTTGGATGGTGTTGCCTAAAGTTTACATTGGTGTAACTGGGATGAGAATCTGGTCCTAGCTCTGCTGAAGTCAGTGGTGTTACCCTTATTTGCCCCTCCATTACTGGGTTCAGAATCTGAGCCACCCTTTCTAACTGTGGGATTTCCTCGTTTTCCTCTGGAGTGCCAAGCACCAGTCATGGCCAGGGCCCAGAGCAGCAGGACAATGGGCGGTCCTAGGGAAATGTCTCTTGCTTCCTGAACTGAGGTGAACAGAAATTTGCCATTGACTTAACATCAGTTTGACCTTGTCTTCTCTTCTGCGGTCACTGATGCCCTGTGGGGCTGTTTGCTCCTGTGGGATATGTCTGCCTTGCCACCCGATCAGTGCAACTCCCACCCAGACACAGCTGCATGGCTTGCATCCGCCCATCTAGGGCCAGGGAACTGCAGATGGGAGAAATGGGTCTGGCACTTGGTAGCTGCCGTTCACACACGGAAAGTTATGCTGGTGGAACCTCTGAGTCTAGACCAGGCTTTCCGGGCCTCACGGGAGCGATACTGTGCATCACCCGTGGGAAGGAGCTTGCTTTGCTCAGACGGCCAGGCCTGTGTTTTGCAATCGGCTGAATTCCTGAAGCCGTTTCCGGGAACCCCAAAGCCAGGCAGGAACGCCCCCGGAATGTCAGCCGCTGCCAAGTGGGGCTGTGTCTCTTTAAAAGCCAAGACGAGGCCTCGCGAGACGTGCGCAGAATAGAGCAGGCGTGGGAGGCACATTCTTCAGCCTGGCTGCTCGGCAAATCCAGGAGCAGGCGGAAGGGGAGAGCCAGACCCACAGCGAGCTCCGCTCTTGGCAGACGGGCCCTGCTCGAGGCAGGGCAGACTGCAGCCATGCCAGGTAAGCGGACCGGGGCCAGGAAAAGGAATGATCTTGCCCTGTTCCCTGATTAAAGGCCCAGCAGCAAACTGTCCTGTCGACAGCAGCAGGACGTTCCAGCGCAGGGCTCGACGGGGACGTCGACACGGCCTGGCTGGGCTGCCCCAGGCTAGCGGGACTCGGGCTCGTGCTCTGAGTTGAACCAGTGCCTTGGAGCCCCAGCCTGAGCCACAAGTTCAGAGCCTGGTGTGCCCAGCTGGTCCTGGAGTGCTAGCCTGAGGGCCACGAGCCCGACCCCTCGGCCCAGGCTGGCACGCTGCTGCGGGCTGTGTGGACGCACCCGTGGAACCAGGAGTGGGCCCCGCTCTAGAGCAGCGGGGAAGAGGAGACGTCAGAGAACAGGAATGGGGCAGAGAGAGAAGGAAGGAGTAAAGGGGAGAGACCGAAAGCGAGAAGGGGTGTATGGAAGCTAGGGCTGACACCCCACGGTGCTGGGTGTGGGATGGAGAGATGGGTGTGTCTGAGGACAGATAGACAGATGTTGGGAAGGTGATAGATCAACAGATCTGGCAACAATGAGATGACCTCTGGGTAGGCTGAATTTGAAGCAAGAGCATCTCCTTATTCACTATTGACCATTATTATCACGAGCCAGAAATGGGTCTGCATGAAAACGAACAATAATCCCATGGCTGTGATAGCGGGTAAGAACGCGAAAGTGCTTCACAGTCCTTAGCTCATGAGCCCGGCCAGAGCCCGGGAAGCCAGGGGAATTCCTTGTCTTCTCCCCAAGTTACACACCAGGCCATGGAGGCACTAAGTGACTCGCCCCAAGGGCACAGTCCATCCGTGTGACAACCAGGAGGGGCTCCAGGGGGCTCTGCAGCTCCTGGCTCCCAGCCCCACACTGCCCCCGTGGAAGGGAAGGTGGGGTGAGAGGTAGCGAGAGGGAGGTGAGGCATAGCGCCTTTCAGCCCGCTGCGGGCCAGGGGCAGGGTGCCATGAGCAATCGAGACCCCCAGGATCACCTGGGTCTCTCTCCCTCATCACTTCCCTTCCATTGCAGGGGCCTCAGGCGTCGGTGCACCTCAGTTCCTCCTAGTCTCCATGCCCCAGCATCAGTGAGCCCTTCTTTGTGCCCTCAGCCTCATGACCCTTTGGTTCTGGGGTCAGTCAGTATGACTGGGGGTGGGGTGGGACGCAGGGAGCTCTGCGACCAAATCCAGACCCATCCTTCCACACTGGGGATATTTGGGGGCTGAGGTTTGTGCCAACACAGCCCTGGCATGAGCAGATGCTGCTGTGTACTGGGCTGGGTCCTGTGTGCTCGCAGAGCGGACTGTGAACGAGAGAAAGCGGGAGGAACAGAGACGCGGCACCAGAGGGAGGCGGGCACGGAAAGAAGAGGGCGAGACGAGGGGTGTTGGGAAACCGGCCGCCTTCCCCTGGGGAACGGCAGGTCCCAGCTTGCTTATCTGATCTAGTTCCCGCCGACGCCGCCTGCAGAATTCACACAGAAGCATGAACCTCTCCGCGTCCTGTCGGCGTCCATTCACCCTCGCTGCTTGCCCCCGCCCTCTGCCAGCTAACACAGCTCTCCTGCCACTGGCCAGTGCCCCCACGCCACCCCACATGGGCACAGCCGTAGGTGGGCTCAGAAACCCGGCTCGGGTCCCCTGTACTGTGCCAAGGGGCCTAGAGTCGTCAGCTCCCCCACACCCACACCCATGTGACAGCTGGACTTCTCTGCCCAGCTGTAATGGCTACTGGGTAAGACTGGCTAATAGCAGGCCTAATTCAGACTGGTGTAAGGAGGCAATTGGGGGCTCGGCAGCACAGCGAAGGAAGCATTCGAAATGCAATAGTTAGATGGATGGGTATCTGCAGCAGAAGCAGCTGGGTAGGGAATCCTGAGCTTGAGGACAAAGCCTTTGCTAAGTCCAGCCCCCTCAGTCCGGGGTCTGCTGTGCCTGGCCTTCGCTGCTCTCAACCAAGGAAGGCTGGTTTAGAGCCGGGTCCTGCGGTCAGGGCAACGAGTCACACACCGAGCCGCCAATGGCAGATCTGCCAGTTGATGCCTGCTGGGCTGCACCAAAGCACAAGAAGCAGGAGCGGGAGGGAGAGGAGAGTCCATGGGGGGCAGGATGGGGTGGGGAGGCAGACTCCATCCCAGGAAGGGAGGAGGAGAGGGCTGCAGAGACGAGTCTTTTTTCCGGGGGGGGAAAGGGGGCTCTGCAGGATCAGGGCTCCATGCAGCCTTAAATCCCACCCCTGCTCTGGATGCCAGAGGGCAGCCAACGCTGGTGCTCTCGGTTGGGTGCGGCACATGGTACGTCACGGCACAGAGCTGGCCACCTTCCAGGTTCGGTGATTCCTGCCCAAGGACAGGGCTGGTTTGAAGCTAAATCAAGCCCCAAATTCTGCTGGAGCAGCTCATTTCAGTCCCCCTCCCTCCATCCCAAGGCAGTGCCGTGTTTGGGAATTACCCCAAAGTCCAGCTTCCAGCAAGTGAGCGCTGGTTGCTTCAGGGGTCCCAGAAGGCTCTGGTCAGGCCTGGTGGTTTGGCAGAGAGCCCGTCCGCCCAGCTGGCTTAACCTGGAACAGCCCCGCCATGCAGGCGCATCAAACCATTGCCAGGAGGAGCCCAATGAGTGGCGCTTCTTGCCACTGAAGGCCAAGCCTTTATGAATGGGATCCTGGCGCATAGCTTCAGATCTGGAGTGACGGAGACAGTGTCGGCCCAAACCTCATCACGTTCCTCCTGCAAGAGACTCCCCGGGCTGGATGGGCACAAGATGAATGGAAAGCTGCCAAGCCAGCTCAGGACAGCTGGGGGGCTATGGCCCGCCTTGGCTGAGGACAACTGGAGACTTCGAAGGAGTGACCAGAGCTGGGGAAACAGAGAGCAAGGAGATAGGGACTCGAGAAGGACAAGCAGAAGATAAAAGATCAGGGGCCAGTTGGACTGCTGGTGTAAATCGGCATATTTCCCTTGACTTCAGCCAGGGTGCTACAAGTCTCTGACTTCTGGAGAAGGATGCCGATTTACACCAGTGCAGGATCTGGTCCCAGATGTTTGGTGCAAACAGAGAAGAGGAGATCTGAGCCCAAGCAAGGGACAGCTGCCAACAGTGAAAGAAACGAACGGGAGGCGAATAAGAGCATAAGAACGGCCATACTGGGTCAGACCGATGGTCCATCTAGCTCCGTATTCTGTCTTTCGACAGTGGCCAGTGCCAAGTGCCCCGGAGGGAATGAGCAGAACAGGGAATCATCAAGTGATTCATCCCCTGTCGCCCATTCCCAGCTTCTGGCAGATGCAGCAGAATGCCCAGCACTAACAGAGAGTGTCTCTGATGCAGGCTCTGGGGTGGAGCACCTCACCTGGGGAGCAAGCGCAGGGACCCCAGGATAGGCTGTGTGCTAGTGGTCTCCATGGGATGCTCTCACAGATGTTTTCTAAAGCAGCAACATCTCCTCTGCTCCTGCAGCAACGCTCCTGGGTGGGCTGGCAGCAGGGACTGACCCCCAACCTCTCCCTGCGAAGCCCAGGGCGTTACCACCGGAGCTGGGGGATCAAGCCCATTAGCTGCTGGCCGCAGTGGGTGGCTTTCCTCTGAGGCTGGAGGGAGTCGTAACGCGCTCTGCTGGCCTGTGACTCTCCAAGCCCTGCCCCAGAGATAAAGCCGACCCTGAGCCCAGACCTGGGCATCTGTCCCCATGCCCTGTCCTGTTGGGCGTGGGGCTGATGTCACAGCTTCCTACCCCATCCTGTCTGTCACCCGTCGGGGGTGGCCAGGTGTTGGTGGACCATGGCCCCTATATCACAGACTTTGGCTCTGCTGCTCCAGCCCCATCCCTTCCTGCCTCACTGGGAGCTCCCCTGGGGGCTCTGAGGGGACGTAACGGGCAGGAATGGGCTGGAGCTCGCACTTGTGTGCCCGGGAAAAGGCACCCTAGGAACAGAGCACAGGGAAATGCAAGCACTTCATCTGGAGCCGTGTCCCCGTGGCGAGGCCCATGGCCTAGGGCGGATTCCCTCCTGGAGCAGAGTGCATCGCATGGGGCGTTTGGAGCGAGAGCAGGGCGAAGTGGGGGGAGGCACTGCCAGGAGAGGGCGACCGTGTGCCGGCAGGGAAGAGGCAATGGACTAGCCACCTTCCTGTGCCCAATTCGTCTGAGCCGGGTCCTGCTCTCGCCGAACCCAGCAAACCCACGGAAGCCAATGGGGTGACAGGGGTGATGTGTGGGCCCTGGGACGCTAGGGGCAGATCCTCAGCGGGGTCAATCGGCAGGTCTCAGCATGGGATGGCCACACTCCTTTGGCTGGGCAGGGTGCTGCCCGGTGAGCGGGCGGTGCGCTTGGCCGGAGCAGGCCGGCCCCTGGCAGTGGCCGCCTGCGGGCAGGAAAGAGGAAAGGCGAACAATGGGATGCACTTCCCTTCCCGCACATCCTGTGCTGGATGCGGACGCCACGCTGCAAGCCCTGCCTGTCGGCTTGAGTGTGCCGCGCGCCCCGGGCTCCGGGAGCTCCAGAGGAGCGGGGCAGAGCGGAGCTCTCTCCCGAGGGGGCTTGTCTTTCCCCCCAGAGGGATCCAGTCTGAGGCTGGGGTTTTGCAGGCTCGGCTGCAGGCGAAAGGACTAGCTGAGAGCCGCCTGGCAGCAGCAGGTAAAGACCCTCGCGTACTAGACTCTGCGTCCTGCCCAAGGCGCTGGGGACAGAGGCCCCCCTGCACTTCCCGCATAGCAGGACAAACCAGCACAGCCCACTAGGGGCAGGGCGAGCTTCCCCCTGCCTGCATGATCTGCTCCCCCTGGGTGAGCCACTGTCTAGAGAGGAGCTGGGTCTCGGGTGGCCTTCTGCCCCTTGCCCTGCACACGCAGGGGCGGCTCCGCTGGCTGCAATGGGGCCGTGCCAGGGCTGCCATTCCCCGGGCGGCTCCCTCTTCCCCCGTGCAATCAGGGTTGCCTCATCCCCTTCCCTGCCTTGTGCCATGCCGCTGGGCTGGGCCGGGCCAGGCTGGGGGTTCCAGTCGGGAGGGTTTTGGCATGAAGCATCTCCGGTGGGATGTCACCCAGGGCGGTGTGGCAAGACAAGGACTAGTGGGTAATTACAGCCCATTGCATCTTCCCCTCCTCCTCCTTCGCCGCCCTTTCTGATCTGCTGGGAACCAGCCTCATTCCTTTCAGATGAGCACTGGGCAGCAGGTTACGCCAGCTGGGTAATTATTGTTGTCTTCGGTAGCTAGGAGCAGGCAGGACCCTGGGGGAAAGGAGGTGGGAGTGGCAGGAAAGGGGAGGAGCCAGACAGCGGCAGGGGTTGGGAGCTGTACGTTCGCTCCAAAGGGGTCAGGGTGTTGTTCCCATCGCAGCCTGAGGAGGTCTTGTAGCACAGAGGAGTTCATAGATTCATGCACAAGGGTGAGGCCAGAGGGGAGTATTTGATTATCCCGTGTGACCTGCACGACCCCGGCCAGAGAACCCCAGTCACAGATCCTGGCATCAAATGCTAAACCCCAAAGGGACGGCTAACAAAATCCAGCCTGAGTGCCTGTGTAACCCAGGCCGGAGAATTCCCCCGGCCTGCCAACTGGAAACATCCCAAAACCATGGGATTGCCTTAAAAATGCTGAGATTAAAATCCCGCCCCCGGCAACATTTGGGTTTTTTTTTCTTCATTGTCCAGTGTCGGAGCCTTTGGGGCACCCCCGGGGCACACTGTCCCACTCTCCCATACAGCCCCAAGAGCTAAAAACAGCTGGAATTGTCACTGATTATAGACTCCTGGCGAGGCCACTAGTCCGGCCCCCCACCCTGAGGCAGGACCAAGGAACCATGATAAACTTGCAAGTGTTGGCAGCAGTGATTTCACCCTGGGCTGCTGGCTCTGTCCCCAGCGGCTCGCTTGGGGCCCTGTTGTCAGCCCAGTCTTGTTGCCAAGTTCCCAGGCTGGAGCCGCCCCCAACTCCGTTTCTCCCTGGGTGTTTCTTTGTGCTCCACACCATGGAAATGATCCTCCAGGCCTGATTCCCGGATGTGCCCCATCTTGTCCCTTTCCCCTTTGGCTGAGCCCTGGGCTGCTCCAGGGTGAAGAGATCAACGCACAGGAGCCAGACGGCGCTCCCCACCCGCTCCCAGGGAGAGGGCAGCAGCTGGGGTGGGGGGCCTGTCAGGCTGGGATCTCTCCCTTAAGGAGAACCAGACTCACTAGGAAAGGGGACAAGCCCCCTCTGCTCTTGCTGCCCCCTGGTTTGGGGAGGGGCTCGCACACTAGCCTCCGGCATGGGGCTGGTTGGACATAAGGCAAGGGGACGGTGCGGGGGTGAAAGGACCCCCTCTTGTTGCTCCCATTTGAGCATTTGGCTGCATCTGCCGGGTGGCACAGAGGGAGACAAAGGCAGTGACCCGAGAGAGGCTCTGCTCCAAGGCCAAGCAGCTGTCCTGACACCGGCGATGCCGGATTTACCGGGGTTTCACTGGGAGCAGCAGCATGACGGTGGGGGCCTGCACTTTCTCCTGCTGCTTGGACCCGGCTTCTCTGCTTCCCTCTCCCTGCCCCATTCTCCCCTTCAAACCTCCACCTGGCTCAGCGCCTCCCACCCCCTGCCTCCTCCGAGCGTCTCCCATGTCCCCTGATCGCTCCCCACCAGAGCCTCCAGCAGCCTCCCCACTAACATCTGTACAGTCCATCCCTGCACCCCCTTTTGAAATCCCCGAGTCCGTTTTCCACCTGTAATGACCGAGTCACACGCTGGGCTTGTCCTGCCAGGCGTGCTTGGCACAGCGCCCTGCTGCCCAGCTTCTGGGCACACATCCTGTATACGGCCCATAGAATAACGAGCCCTGCAGCACTGAGAGGTGCAGGCAGGTTATACTATGGGCCGTATTCAGAGGGATATTGACCAGGGATGGGCCAGGGTGAACCAAGATCAGAGACGGCCCAGATCAGGTGAACTCTCACGGGGACACCCTGGAAAGGAGAGCCCTGCGTCCATTGCTCCATAGAACTGGGGTCACTGCCAGAGTCTGCGGCACTCGGCCTTTCCCAGCAGGTGACCGATGCCCACCAGGCAGCGCGGACTGGTGCTAATGCCCGGCTGCACCGGTGCTGGGACAATGAGCCCCCCACTGCCCTGCTCAGGCATCGGCTCCATTACCGTTTCAGGAACTAAGGAGACAGAGATGTCGGGCAACTCGTCGGAGCTGGAATGGGCCCTCCAGGTGCTGGTGAAGAACTTTGACAAATACGCCAGCGGGTGCTGCAAGAAACCCCGGCGCATCAGCAAGAAGGATTTCCGCAAGATGCTGAGCCGGGAGCTCAACCACATGCTGACGGTGAGACCAGGGGGACACTAGTGTGCGAGTGTGAGCCCACGGGCTGCACGAGGCCCTGCCACGGGGAACCCTAGTGTGTGAGTGTGAGCCCACGGGCTGCACGAGGCCCTGCCATGGGGAACCCTAGTGTGCGAGTGTGAGCCCACGGGCAGCACGAGGCCCTGCCACGGGGAACCCTAGTGTGCGAGTGTGAGCCCACGGGCAGCACGAGGCCCTGCCACGGGAACCTAGTGTGTGAGTGAGCCCACGGGCAGCACGAGGCCCTGCCACGGGAACCCTAGTGTGTGAGTGTGAGCCCAGGCAGCACGAGGCCCTGCCACGGGGAACCCTAGTGTGTGAGTGTGAGCCCACGGGCAGCACGAGGCCCTGCCACGGGGAACCCTAGTGTGAGGAGCCCAGCACGCCGGTCCCGTCACGGGAACCCTAGTGTGTGAGGAGCCCAGGGCTGCAGAGGCCCTGCCAGGGAACCCTAGTGTGGAGTGTGAGCCCACGGAGCAGAGCCCTGCCACGGGAACCCTAGTGTGTGAGTGTGAGCCACGGGCAGCACGAGGCCCTGCCACGGGAACTAGTGTGCAGTGGACCCACGGGACAGGCCCTGCCACGGGGAACCCTAGTGAGTGAGAAGAGAGGCCCTGCCAGGGGAACCCTAGGTGAGTGTGAGCCAAAGAGGCCCTGCCACGGGGAACCCTAGTGGCGAGTGGAGCCCAGGGCAGCGCCCGTCCGTCACGGGGAACCCTAGTGTGATGGAGAGGCCCTGCCAGGGGAACCCTAGTGTGGAGTGGAGCCCACGCGCGCGTCCGTCACGGGGAACCCTAGTGTGTGAGGTGAGCCAGGCAGCACCCAGTCCCGCAGGGGAACCCTAGTGGCAGTGGAGCCACGGGAGGCCCAGTCGTACGGGAACCCTAGTGTGTGAGTGTGAGCCCAGGGCAGCGGGTCCCATCACGGGGAACCTAGTGTGATGTGAGCCCAGGGCAGAGAGGCCCTGCCAGGGGAACCCTAGTGTGTGAGTGGAGCCCACGGGCAGCGCCGGTCCCGTCACGGGAACCCTAGTGTGGAGTGGAGCCCACGGGCAGCGCCGGTCCGTCACGGGGAACCCTAGTGTGTGAGGGACCAGGAGCGCCGGCCCGTCACGGGGAACCCTAGTGTGCGAGTGTGAGCCCAAGGGCAGCGCCCGGTCCGTCACGGGGAACCCTAGTGTGTGAGTGTGAGCCCACGGGCAGCGCCCAGTCCCGTCACGGGGAACCCTAGTGTGTGAGTGTGAGCCCAACACTACCTCACGCTGTCCCCAACCAGCCTCCTTGCTGGCAGCCTGAGGAGGGACCTCGGTGACCCCCACCCCCAGCTCCAGTGCTGAGCTCCCTGCCCCTCGGGAGGGGGTGCCCCGGCAGCGGCTGACCTAGGTGCCAGGCTGGAGAGTGCCGCCCCCGGGCTCCCCAGCCCCTCCTGGCATTCAAACGGCTCTGCGCTCTCTTCCCAGGACACCGGGAACAAGCGCGCGGCCGACAAGCTCATCTGTGACCTGGACGAGAACAAGGATGGGCTGATCAGCTTCGAGGAGTACTGGACCCTGATCGGCGGCATCGCCGGCCCCATCGCCTGCCTCATCCGCCAGCAGGAACACGGCACCAAGTTCACCAAGTAGCGTGGCCTGAGGGCGCCGGCAGCCCCCCAGATCCCAGCTCGGATCTCCTCCTTTGCTGCTTCTCCCGAGGCCATGAGTGATCCCCTGCCCCCCACGGCGCCTCTGAGGCTGGCTCCTCCCGGGGAGAGCGGATCTCCTGCCAGCTGGGGCTCAGCCCCCACTCCATCAGCAACCCCCCTTAGCCAGCGCTGCCCTGGCTAACACCGATGCCCTGGGAAATAGCCAGCACTGAGGGCAGCTGCCTTCGAGGGGCTCGTTCTTCCCTCCCCCCACTGCTGGGCTGGCCCACAGGGCAGCAGAGATATCATCCTCCTGGCCTTGTTAGCAAGCCACCTGCTGCGTCACGTGGCAGATCCGTGGCCTCCTGGACCCTCATCCCTGAGCCAGGGCCCGTGCTGCTGGCAGTCACAGAGCCGTAGTTAATGGAGGAGAATCACCTGTGGCTCTCTGCAGTACAGGGCTTATGTGACACACGCTGCAGTGGGTCTGACGTGCCAAGAAAGCAGATTCGCATTGTCCCAGAAAGGAGTGGGGCAGCAGGGACACACGCAGACACGCACATGCAGACACGCACATGCCAGTCAGTTACAGCCTGGTCGCTGCTTTTCCCAGGCTCCCCCTGTAGCTCGCTGATGCTGTATTGACCTTTGCCGCCCTCCCGCCAAACGCCCTGGGGTGTCTCTGGGGCTGGGCTAACCCCTCGGGGGGAGGGCACAGCCACCTGCAGGATTCAGGGTGCTGGTGTACCGGGGTCCTGCAGGGCTGGGATGGGGCCCTTTTGTTCTCCTCTTCGGAGGCTGTGCTGGTTTTAACCCTTCCTGATCTGCAGCTGAGTGCTGAGCCTTGCCTGGCTCCAGGCTGGAGAGATCTGTGCTGGCAGGGAGGGGTAAAATTCCCCCCCCCCCCCCAGCCCCCCGCCAAGGCCCCAAGTGGGACAATCCAAGTTCCCAGCCATGCTGTCTCCTGCCGTGTCACTCTGTGTAGAAGTCCCGCGGGACTGGCTGGGGGTCTAGGCCCATACCGGGGCGAGGGAGGGATGCAGCCCCTTGGTGACTCTCCTTCTTGGATCCATTGTGCCAAACTCTGCCCTCAGTGCCTTTCCTGCAGCCCCCGCTGGGCTGCCCCCCAGGTGGGGGTTCCAGGGCATTGTCCCCCATCTACGACTTGAATGGTTCCCGTTCTCAAACCTCTGTCTGGCTCGGGATTCCAACCCCCATGCTGGTTAGAAAGCAACCCGTCCGAGCTGGTAAGAAATCTGTCCTTCCCCTTTGCTGACCATTGCAACAGTTCTGTGGGGCCCATGCGGCTCGCCTGACCTTCCCTAACGCCCTCCAGGGGCTGGCGCTTGAGCCAGACTGTGAAATTCATAACAATAAAGTTTGGAGTGGGATTGGTGTCTGTGTCTGCCTTCCCCCGGGCGGGCGAGGAGCTCATAGCGCCGTGCCAGGGCTCATTAGCTGAGCCCGCGAGGTTGGAGAATATCACCGTCAGCCCGGGGCCCGTGTCCCTGACCATGCTGTGCCGGAGAACCCCCTCAGCTGGTAGCAGGGCGAGACCCCAGAGTCCCCTGCTCCAAAAGGGCCTCCATGGCCTGCCCCACAGGGCCATTGGGACTGGCTCGTCTGACCAGCTGCATAGGCCAGGCCCGAGAACGGCCGGACCCCAATTCCCAATGCAGAGCTGCTAAAAACCAGCCCATCTCGATTGAAACACGGGCAGCAATGGAGAATTGACCATAAACGTTGGTAAATTGTAACCACCTCCCTCCTAAAACCGTACGTCTTGTTTCCAGTCTGGAGTCGTCTCACTTCCACTTCCAGCCACTGGGTCGGCTTAGACCTTCCTCTCCTGGACTGAAGAGGCCTTGGTCAAATATTTGTTCCCTCTGTGGGTACTTGTGAGCAAGTCACCCTGGCCCTTCCCTGCGTGCAGCGAAATACACTGAGCTCCTTGAGTCTGTCGCTGTAGGGCCGGTTTTCTGATCCTTTCATTGTTCTCCTAGCACGTCACTGAACCTTCTCCAAGGTACACACCTGCCCTCGGACACACAGGTAAGCAGTTCTTGCCCCATGCAGCAGGAGGCAGCGGTGCACACACGTGTGCACACACACACTGTAGCCCTGGTCATTATCGTGTGTTACCCCCATTGTACAGAGGGGGAGACTGAGGCAATATGGGACGCGATTTCCTGAGTGTCACACAGTGAGTCAGGGGCAGAGCTGGGGATGGAACCCAGGAGTCCTGGTTCCCCAGCCCTCCACTCTAACTGCTAGACACCAGCTCCTTCCCAGGGCTGGGCACAGAACCCTTCAATCCTGACTCCCATTCCCTCTAGCTATTAGTCCATCCCCCTCCCCACACAGACCCCACAAGTCCTGGCTCATAGCTCCCCTGCTCTAACCCACTCAACCCCACTGCCCTCCCAGAACTGGGAATGGAACCCAGGAGTCCTGGCTCCCAGCCCTTCCCCACCCCCCTCACTAACGGTAATAAAGGCTCCGGTCCCTTCATGGGGGGCCTGATGAGCGATGGGTCATTTCCCTTCTGGACAGGTGGAAATGCAGAGTCTGAGGGGGCTGGATCCCCAGGGTGCAGCATGCCCCCTGGCTCCCACCCGCAGAAGGGGGCTGGGATGGGCGGGACCTGGCGCCTGGGGGAGGGATCTGAACAGGAGCGTCTGATTCAGGGGGGCTTGTGCTCTGTCCCCCCAGGGAAGGATGTGGGGTCTCCAGCACAGAGGGGGACCCCAAGAGATGTGTGTGTGTGTGTGTGTGGGGGGGGGGGTCACAACCAGGCCAGGGACAGCCAGGACCTAAATATCTCCTGCCAGGAGAGACGGGCCTGGTCTTGGAGCTTTCTATTGGCCTGGCCCATGGGGCTGAGTTGGGAGCTGGGGGAGGCTGGGCGCAGGCAGGGCCTGTGATCCCCTCTGCCCCCCAGCCTGCAGCGCCTGAGGTGTGACCCGACTCCTGGCCTGGACTCAGCTATTCCAGCCGTACTGTAGCTCTACACCTCCAGGGGGCGCTCTGCAGGCGTGGCCCCGGCTCCTCTCTATCGGCAGGACTCAGCCCTCCGGGGCCTCGCGAAGCCACGGAGACGCCGCAGTCCGCTGGGCTGTCGCTGCGTGGTGCAGATGGGGCACCCCTGGGAACCGAGCCCACAACCCCAGCTCTAAAAGCCAGGGCCCTGCCGCGTGAGCTAATGGAGAATCTCCATCTGTTGTTTGCAACATAGGGGCTATGACACAGGGATGGGCAGTTGTGATCCCATCCAGCAGAAGGCAGCAGTGGGTCTCTCACACCCCCCCCCCCGATGCACTATTAAACGGAGCTCCTGCCATGCTCCAGTGCCTCCACTAGGTGTCAGCAAACACTAGCAGCAGCCGTGAGCTCGGCAGGCCAGTCCCCATCACACGTGGGGGCTCAGAGCGGGTGCAGCTGCCCCCCCAAGGCCCTGTGCACTGACCCCCCCCGCTCCGAGCACCTGTAATAAACCCGGGCCCCCGATGCCAACTGGAGTCAACAGAGAGACGCCCAGGCCCGTGGGCTTTGGCTAATAGGGAGAGGCCGAGCTGGGGCAGTCTGGACCTGTGGGGGTGGGGGGAAGTGTTGCAAAGCAGGCCCGGGGTCTGCCTCTCTCTGCTAATTCATCTTCACAACCTCCCCCTGTCCACACAGTATTGTCACCCCCTTTTGTCCAGATGGGGAAACTGAGGCTCAGAGGGAGCACATGAGTGGCAGAGCTGGCATTAGGGTTGGGGCCCCGTGGCCTCTCCTGTCCCGGTATGGAGCAGCCCCAAGGATATTCCTGCTGACCCTGGTGCTGGGGCTAAGACCCTCAGGTTGTGTGGGGACGAGATACTGACAAACAAGCCACTGCTTGGCTGCAGTGGGAGCAGAGGCCCGGAGGCTCACTGCTTTGGGCCCAGTGGCTGACAGGCAGCATTCCCCATGGCTCTGGGGGGTGCGATGTCTCAGGGGGGGTCCAGTGTGTTTTAGGAGTTTCCCAGTGTGTTTTAGGAGCAAACAACACAGAGGAATCTGCTGCACAGGGAGGAGATGCTGCCCTGATGCCAGCTGCCACGCATGGGTCCCTGGGAACGGGCAGCACCAGCCGGGCTGCAGTGCATCCCCCAGGACATAGGCAGCCGCGGGGCCTTAGAATCACAGAATATCAGGGTTGGAAGGGACCTCAGGAGGCATCTAGTCCAACCCCCTGCTCAAAGCAGGACCAACCCCAAATAAATCATCCCAGCCAGGGTTCTGCCAAGCTGGGCCTTAAAAACCTCTAAGGATGGAGATTCCACCACCTCCCTAGGGGACCCGTTCCAGGGCTTCACCACCCTCTGAGTGAAATAGCATTTCCTAATATCCAACCTAGACCTCCCCCTCTGCAACTTGAGACCATTGCTCCTTGTTCTGTCCTCTGCCACCACTGAGAACAGCCGAGCTCCATCCTCTCTGGAGCCCCCTTCAGGTAGCTGAAGGCTGCTGTCAAATCCCCCCTCGCTCTTCTCTTCCGCAGACTAAATAACCCCAGTTCCTGCAGCCTCTTCTCGTAAGTCACGTGCCCCAGCCCCCTGATCATTTTCTTTCCCCTCCACTGGACTCTCTCCAATTTGTCCACATCCCTTCTTAGTGGGGGGCCCAAAACTGGACACAACACTCCAGGTGAGGCCTCACCGGTGCCGAATACAGGGGAATAATCACGTCCCTCGATCTGCTGGCAACGCTCCTACTGGTACAGCCCAATGTGCCGTTGGCCTTCTTGGCAGCGAGGGCACACTGCTGACTCGTATCCGGCTTCTCGTCCTTCTCCCCAAGCACTGGGCATTAAACGTCTCTGCTGGGCTGGGGACAGGGATGCTCAGGGTGGGAGGTGGGCGAACGCCTAGTGCTGGGGGGGGCTGGCTGTTCCCGGGCGTTTGTCTGTCCCCGTGGTGTACGGCGCGGTGGACTCCAGCAAGCTGAGTTCAAATCTTGGTTGGTCCCACATAGCCCACCTGCCCCCAGCTGGGGTGCCAGGACCTCACCCCGAGAGCAGAGCGGGGTGTCCCTGCAGTTGTCCCCTCAGGCCTCAGTGGAAAAACTGGCTGAAAAGCTTTAATCCCTTGGGATCGCGGGGGGCTGCGGGGAAGGATTGAGGGGCAACACAGGGGATGTTTGCAGGCTCCGTTGTTGCTTTAATCCCATCTGGGGTTGACAGTTCCTTTGTTGCGAACCCCACCCAGTGGGCTCACCCCCCCGGCACTGGTACGACACCCCCAATTTCACCCTGGGTAACCAGAGCCTGGTGGGCACCTCCCCTGTGCCCCCCTCCGTCCGGTGCCTGGGAAGCTGCCCCCCAGACACAGCCACACCCTCCCTCCTGCTTGCCTCCTCCCACACACTGCAGAGCGGCTCAGAGCCAAGTGAAGGCAGGTGCCCAGGGTGGGGCCAGGTGACTCATCTGGCTACTCCGGGGCGTCTTTGAGAGAAAAAAGACACGAAAGCCCAGTGCAAATGGGAACTCCCGGCTGGTGGGCAGCACCCCAGGTGCATGTGTGTGTGTGTGTGGGGGGGGGCCTGTAGTGGGGTCAAAGCACCAGGGGTGTGGAGGACAAAGATCTTGGGGTGTGTTTGGGGGGGTGTATCAGGGGCCAGAGCCCCAGGGGTGTGGGTGGGACACCCCCATTTTCTTTTCTTACATTCCCCTGGGGGAACGGGCCCCACCCTGCTGCCAGTGACGGCAGAGTCCCAGCTCTCCCTGACTTCAGCGGCTGGAGGATCCGGCCCAAATTGTCTGCGTGTGAAACCAGAGCTGGGAAAAGCACCGGCTGAGTGACACAGAGACTTTCGGTGCGAGTGAGGTGCTGAGGCAAGGGGTGACGTGTGAGCCCTGCCGCAGATGGGGGGCACCGGTCGGCTGATTCTGCAGCCCCCCAGGCCCAGCGAGAACACAAAGGGCTTTGCAAAGGGGCAGCCACATCTATGTCGTTAATCAGTTTTACTCTTCACTGCTGCAATGCAGCCACCTCTGGGGAGGGCAGGGCAGGGGCAGCTGTTTGACAGGCCCACAGCAACACCGCGCGAGAGTCCAGGCCAGGGCTCAGCGCAGGGGGTGGCGTCCAGCTGACGCTGCAGGCAGGGCTGAGGGGCAGAATGGACTGAGCGGAGCTGGGACGTGGCCAGGACACCGGGGTTCAGAACCCAGCTCTTGGGAACAGAGCCAAAGACCGGGGATGAGCAGGAGGGGGCAGGACATCCACTGTAAAGCTCATCTGAAGGACGGTGCCTCCCGCAGTGCGGCGCCCCCGACTGAGCCCCTAATTCAGTGCCTCGTGTGTCTGCAGCCCACTGCAGCGCGGACACGTGGGGGGATTCATACGCACACAGGGACGGGGGTCTGCGG